GCCACCACTGCCCGGCTTCCACCTTATTTTTTTTAAATGAACATAATATTTGCAATTGTAACCATTTTTAAGTTCACAATTCAGTGGCATGAATTACATTTAAGACATTAATTACACTCATGATATTCATTAATCACACTCATGATGAACCATTTTGGCCCCCAAGTTTTTATTTTTACTGTTGTGGAACCATCTTATGCCCCTTCCCCCAACTCCCTAATATAAGTGATACCATGTACTAAAAGTTAACCGTGTGGTTTCATCATTTAACTATAATGGAACTCTTTGGAAAGTGCCATCTTCACTGGGGTGTGTGTCATGAACTGGCGGCTTCAGTTTTTGAGTTGGGCCTTTGAGCCTTGGACTTCTGTAGAAAACACCATGTTAGTGCTGTACTAGTTGAGTGTCTTCTGTCAGGCATTCTAGTCAGATCAGGTAGCTGTTCAATAGTCTTTGGAGCGGGCGGTGGAATTACCCATGGAATGTGAGGTGTGATAGGAATACTTGTCTTTACTTGCATACAATAATTTTGTTCAAAACTTCATAGAAATCATCCAACTTATGAAGGGGAAGAAGATGGGGAAAAAATTCTAGACAGTGTGGTTTGGAACCAAATGTTGACACTGTTGATAAACGAAGTGAAGTTCTGTTCATCTTTTCATCTAAAAGCTAAGCCTCAAGGACAGTGGAATGTACAACAAAAAATTGTTTGTAATGGGCTGTGAGTTCGATGCTAGCCTAATCTACAGTGAGTTCCAAGATCGCCAAGGCTACATAGTGAGAACTTGTCAAGAGAGAGAGAAAAAGAGAGAGACAGAGAGAGGGAGAGAGAGGGAGAGATAAAAATTTTAGGGAGCAAGAAGAAAAACTTTGTTTTCCTGTTTCTTAAATTTCCTTAACAAGGAAATAAATGAGACATGCAGAGAAATCATGTGTTCTTCTCCTGTGTTGTTCATTTAACTCTTGTTTTTAAAACTATTTTGAGTTTTTTCATAAAACTTTGAAAAACATTTGTCACTTTTATTTTCTTTAGTGTTTTTTTTTTTTTTCCATACAGGAACTTTGCATTGATGGCGACTAATTTGTGTGTTTTTCTTTTTTTCTTTTTTCCTTTTTGCATGCTGTCCCCTGTGTTGGAACTCTCAATAGAGAGTAAGTTGGTTCAATATTTGTTGAAAAGCTAACTTTACTGCATGACTGTGGAATTAACCCATTTTCTCTGTTTTTCTCTCCTGAAGAGTTCGTGCAGTGTTGGACCCTTTGCAATCCACGACATGCTATTCGCGTTACGCAAACCTGTCATTCTGTTTGGAGATGTGCTTTTTAATCTACTAATTGATCTAATTTGATTATGTTCTTCTGTTTCAAATTTGATGGCTGGCACACCTAAAATAAAGCAGGTTTACATAAGAAGAGGCTGCCTCAATTGTAATAGTCTAAATACATGATTCTTTCCTGAGTAATTCCAGTTTGAAATATCAGATTGATCCATTGGAAGATGGATCCATTGATCCATTTAAAATGATTCCCAAGCTTTAAGATTATTGGAAAAAAAAAAAAAAACACAAAACTACCTTACCACCCCCCATTCTGTTAATATCATTCTGTAAAAGTAAACAGTGATTATGAACTACTAATTCTAAACTTCAACTTGTGAAATACAATTTTTATTCCTTGCATTATATTAACATACACATTTCTCCTTTACTCATAGGTGAGGAAAGGAAAGAATATTGATTGACTTCTGAAATGAATTCTCTGTGGTAGGGAAATCACTTGGGAAAGGTTGTGTATCATTTCCAACATTAGGGCTGTGGTTATGCGTATATGTGTGGGTATATGCATACGTGTGGTCAGTATTGCCAGTGATGGGATATAATACGTGTTTTCAAGTAATACAGTTCTGTATGCCATGGCCTGTGAGTCGTATCTCTGCATTTTAATTATGCTACTTAACACTTTACCTAACCAGAAGAACTTTCTGTCTGGGACATTCAGAGAAGTCTCTGGAAGGAAAGAACAGTTGTAATTTTGGGTGAAGTGAGAGTGTAGACTCTGCAGTTACCCTGAGTCAGGAGGATTGCCATTAAGTTGAGGCTATCCTGGACTACATAATAAAATCCCATCTTGGGGCTAGAGAGTTAGCTCAGTTGGTAAATGCTTGCTATGCATGTGTAAGGGCCTGAGTTCAGTCCCAGAACCACACTTTTAAAAAGCTGAGTCATGTGATGCACAGTTGCAATCTTAGTGCCAAGCAACAGAGGCAGGCAGGTCTCTTAGCCAGACAGCCTAGCCCGTTTGGTAGGCTCCAGGCCAGAGACTGTCTCAAAAGTAAAGTGGACAACACCTAAAAAATGACACCCAAGGTTGACCTCTGGCCTGTAAATACAGGTGTATACATGTGTGCTCATGTAAACATACAGTCAAATGACAGAGCCTGGGGTGGGTGGGCCTAGCAATACCTGCCTGTAATCCCAACACTAAATAGGTTGAATCAAAATTATCATGAGTTCAAAGTCATCCTGGAATACATAGTGAGACCCTATCCCAAAAATGAAATACACATAAATATTCTGGGTAGAGTGATAACATAATTTGAGAAAAGCTTAAGTAGTAGCATGCATAGCTAGTCACATTACAAGTTCCAAATAGGTGTTGGTACATGCCTTTAATCCCAGCACGTGGTAGGCAAAAGCAAATGGATCTCTGTGAGTTCAAGGCCACCCTCATCTACATAGTGAGTTCCCAGCCAGCCAAGGATATGTACTAGGACCCTGTCTCAAACATATAAGAAAACATTTCAGGAAGGAAGAATGAGTGGCTATGATCTAAAGTAGCCCAAGCAACTTTTGATAAACTGTGTGGGGATTCACATGCTGTGTATAAGGGGTGAAAGATGAGGGAATTGTAAGAAATTGGGAGTTTTATGAAATATGTATGAAAAGGGAGACAGAGTTCACGTTACCAGATGCCCCAAGGGCACTTTGTAGAGGTGTAGAACTAAGGGTTGACAATTCCCACTAACTGGGACTATGCCAGGATTTTATTTCTATCAAAGTGACATTCCAGTGATGGTAAGTAAGAAAGAAGCATGAGTTGACAAACAGTCTGAGGGCTGAATCTGCCCAGGGTCTGGTTTTGTAAGTACAATTGTTTTTGAAACACAGCTGTACTAGTTGTATGTCTATGGCCATGGTACAATGACAGGGCTGTGTAGTTGCTAGACCCATGGCTTGTAAAGCCTCAGACATTTATTATCTGGCCTGGTATAGAAATGATTTGGTGGTCCTGGTATACAGGAAATAAAGTCAGGCTTGAAGGTCAGAGGGCTTTGTACCTACAGAAGTGGTTCAGTAAGCAGACTTTGGGAAGGCCAAAGAGAGAGATGCCTGAGAGACTGGGGCCCCGTGAAGGAGGCCACACTGCTGTTGAAGAGACAGTTAGGTAAAGGCACTGAGATACAATAGGAACATTTCTGACAAGAAGAGGGAAAGGGAAGATTGAAGAACGCAGCATCAGCTTAGAGAAAGCCCAGTCATACTGACCTGAGGATAAAGCTCTGCATCTCAGTGTAAGCAGAGGGTCAGGTAGGGAGTCAAGGAGCAGAGACACCTCAGGACAAAACAAGTAAGGAACAGGAGGATTGGCCTTAGGAAGGAGTAAAGTCAGGTCTTCGTTAGGGAGGCTCATTAGAACATGAAGTGTAGAGGAAGTCAGATTTTCATGAAAGGCAGTGACAAGTGAAACTGTAGTAATAGTGTGGCCACAACATAGCTAAAAATGAAACCGCCATTGACACACTGTGGGACATGAAATTCTTAGGCTTTCCAAATGTCTTAGGATTTTCAGGTCAGGTTTTCATTTGGAAAAGTTTATAGTTGGACTGCTCAGAGACTAGGAAACAATTGAAATAAGAGTAAAGTTGACTCAAAAAGAAGTAGTGGGGGGGAGGGTTGGGGATTTAGCTCAGTGGTAGAGCACTTGCCTAGCAAGCGCAAGGCCCTGGGTTCAGTTCTCAGCTCCAGGGAAAAAAAAGTAGTCAGGAGCTAGTGAAGCAGCCCCGGGAGAGAAAGAAGCCCCCTAACCAGACTGTGTGGATTCTGTATTGCTACTCTGGCTGGTGTCAGGTGGCCAGCAACCTCGCAGCAGCCCCTGAAAACTTAGTCACCTCCCACCAACCCCAGATTCTATAACATGTGACTGTTGAGGGGATAAAGCCAGCCCTGATATGCTGCCAGACATACCTGTCAGGTAGCCAGGAAGAGCGGGTACCGGGTTAGGTACATGCAGTTGCCACAGACTAGGTCTGTCAAAATGCTTTTCACAATCCTCTAGGCCCAGAAGGGGAAGTCCAGAAGAGTTGAAGCACTCCACCAGCTTTGAAACCCAGTTTTGGGGTTTAGTTGGGATAGGAGATACAGGGGTCTGCATTATAAATGAGTAGTTACCACTCCGAGAGCAGAGAGCACTGGAAACTTCCAATACAAATTTTCAAATACACACCGTCTTAAGAAAACAACAGGCAGATTTTTCTTTCTTTTTAACAAAGCTTCAAATGTTACAGCTTAGTTCTAATTCTAAGTAGAGGAAACTTCTTTGCTAACAAAAATGCATTACAACTGCATAAAGGACACTCCAGAAATATTGAAAATGAAACAGTTTCAAATTAGCAAAGTTACTTTTCAGATTATCAAAGATTTTTTAGATGGAGCAGGAGATAAAGCTCGTTGGTAAAGTGCATGGAGCCCTGGGTTTAGTCCCCAGCACCACATAAGCTAGGTGAGGTGACTACACACCAGTAATCCCAGCAGTCTGTTGTCAGGGGTGTCTTGAAGACCGTCTTCTAAAACATCAGGAGTTCAAAGCCAATCTGGGCTACAAGAGATGCATCTCAAAATAACAAAGAGGCTGGCTGGAAAGATGGCTTAGCAGTTAAGAGCACTGGCTGCCCTTCAAGAGAACCTGGGTTCCATTCCCATCACTTACATCAGGCAACTCACAACCATCTGTAACTCCATATCAGGATCTGATGTCCTCTGGCTTCTGTGAGCACCAGGTGTGCACATGGTATACATACACATAAAATAAAAACAAATATTCTGATTGTGACGTGTCTTAATATAGCATGGCTGTGACTCTTAACAATATGTTCCTTTTACTTAGAAATTCCAGTACTGATTTCTTGCAAGGAAACAAAACCTTATCAAGGGTCGCTTTTCTAAAATATTTTAATGAGACATCACATATGAGTATTAGTTTATCTTTCCCTTAAGATTTGTTTTCATGTTATACAGTCTTTCCATATTGGTATATTTAATCTTAGAACCAAGTATAAAACTCACCAACATAAGCTGGGTAGGGTGGTGCACACCTTTAATCTCAGTACTTGGGAGGCAGAGGCAGGGTGTCTCTTGAGTTCGAGTCCAACCTGGTCTACAGAGTGGTTTCCAGGACAGCCAAGACTACACAGAGTAATAACCCTGTCTCAAAAATCCTAAATGAATAAATAAATAAATCCCACCAACACAAGAACATTTTTAAAAATTTAAATTTTAAATACATTCTTTTATTCTCAATTTTATTATAGCAATGCTTTTAGTTACTATAGACAATTAAAAATTACTTTTGAGGCAGTTTTAATAAATAATAAATCTTAAACCAAAAAGTATGAAATTTGTCATTTTGTGAAACCTGAGGATTTTTTAATCAGCACAGTATTGTAGATACAGTTACTACTGTATGGTGACTATGAATACAATAATTTTCTAATTCACCCAATATTATTTTTAAAAAGCTGAGTGTCCTCAAAACTACAAATAGCACCACCTCTATTTCTTAGGAAATGAGTCTCAATTTAACTAGCTTAAGCTGTGGCAATGCAGATAACATTAGGTGTGCCAGCCATTACGGGCAGTTTCTTTACCAAGTGATGCTGCATGGAATAGCTAATTGTCAAACTTCTGCAGAAGTTGGATAACAGAGCAGATGCACTCTTGTATCACAGAGTCCAGTGAAAAGCAAGAGAGATTTTTCTTTTTTTTTTTTTCTGCTTGGCTGCCAATCGCTGTGCCTCAGATTCCTTTTTCCCCATCTATTTCTGTTTTGAGTTGAGCATAGAGGTCAATATTTCCTCTTTCTTCTTCCCACTTCTCCCCTTTATCAACTACAGGTGTTCAGCATGTTCTTGGAGACTCTAGTAGATTTCATACAAGTCCACAAAGATGATCTTCAGGATTGGTTGTTTGTACTGCTGACACAGCTGCTGAAAAAAATGGGTGCTGATTTGCTTGGGTCTGTTCAGGCAAAAGTTCAGAAAGCCCTTGATGTTACAAGGTAATAATTGCTGCATGTATTTCAAGTTTACCTAGTGGTAATCATGAATATTTAATCCTTATATTAAAGTTTTGTTGATACTGGTTTGAGTACTTGAAGCTGTTAACATGTCTTAAGTAAACTATAACTAAACTGACCAGGTGGTGCATGCATGTCATCCCAGCCCTTCCTTGGTAGAGGCAGGACGATCAAGAGTTCAAGGTCATCTTCTGCTACGTAGTGAGTTTATTTAAGGCTAGCCTTGGCTGCAGGAGCCTATCTCAAAACAATAACAATAAAAATATAGCTAGAGAGTTGAGCCTGGTATTACATGTCTTTAATCCCAGCACTTAAGAGGCAGGGGGAGGCTGATCTCTGAATTTGAAGCCCTCCTGGTCTATATCGTGAGTTCCAGGACAGCCAGAACTAAGTGGCTATGTGGTGAGACCCAGTCTTAAAAATAAAAATAAAATAAACATGTGTTTAAACATATATATGGGGGCAGGCATGGTGCTACTCACCTATAATACCAGCATGGTGGATAAAGAAGGATCGGGAGTTCAAGACCAGCTTGGGCTGTCAAGCCCTACAACCTGAGTTTGATCCCTCGGCCCACAGGGAGAGAACCAACTCCCACAAGTACACCATAGCATACACATGCCCAGATACACACACATCATAAAATACAATACAAATAAAAAAAGGGTGTTTGTTTTGGTTGGTTTGCTGGTTAGGGGATGTTTGTTTGTTTTGACACAGGGTTTCTCTATGTAGCCTTGGCTGTCCTAGAACTCTATGTGTAGACCTGACTGGACTTAAACTCATAGAATCTACCTGCCTCTGCCTCCCGAGAGCTGGGACTAAAGGCGTGTGCCACCATGCCCAACTGAACAAAAAATTTTAATGTACAATTATGTCTAGACATTTTGGTAAAAACAACTGTAAATGTATTTGTAAATTGAACTAAAGGTTAATTTGATTTTAAGTGAAATTAAAAGCTATTCCTATCTTAAAGAATAGTTTATCATGCTGTTAGATAATCTTCCAGAAGACTTTAAGCCAATGGTAGGTTTCTAACTCTTTGATCTTATTGTTAAAGTGACTTATTTCACATACCCATATACTATGAAATGAGTCTGGAATTCAGGGGCTTTTTTGGTGGTGGTGGCTTTTTTAGTTGGTTTTTTTTTTGTTTTGTTTTGTTTTGTTTTGTTTTGTTTTTTGAGACAGGGTGTAGCTCTGGCTGGCCTGTAATTCAGTATGTAAACCAGGCTGGCCTCAAATTCACAGAGATCTGCCCACCTCTTCCTCCAGAGTATTGAGATTAAAGATGTGTGTCACCACACTCAGTTGGAATGAGGAGGCCAGAAGAGGGCATCAGATCCTGTGGAGCTGGAGTTAGAGGTGGTTGTGAGCTGCCCATGTAGGTGCTAAGAACCAAACTCACTTCTGCTATAAGAGCAGTCTGTGTGCTTTTAACCACTGAGTCATCTCTCCAGGCCCAGAAGTTTGAACTTTTACTGACTACATTTTTCTAATTAAATGTATAGTTGTGACAAACAAGATACACTTATCTAGTTTTGTTTCTTAATCTTTTACTGCCTGTAAGTTCAGATTCCTTTATTCTTATACTGTGCTTAATAGACTGTACCATTTCACCTGTCAATTTATACATACTTAGTGGGTGGCATGATATTTGGATATTAAGTATAGTCTTTTGCTCTGGAATTTTTTAAAATGCATATTTGTCAACTTAATTTGTGGGAGGTTGATTGCTTTCTTTTTTAAGATTTATTTATTTAGTATGTATATAGTGTTCTGCCTGCATGCTACAAGAGGGCACCAGATCTCACTACAGATGATTGTGAGCTACCATGTGGGTGCTAGGAATTGAACTCAGGACCTCTGGAAGAGCAACCAGTGCTCTTAACCTCTGAGCCATCTCTCCAGCCTCACTTATTTTGTTTTTTTAACTTTGTCTTTTCTTTGTTCTTTTCTCAGAGAATCCTTTCCAAATGATCTTCAATTTAATATCCTAATGAGATTTACAGTTGACCAGACCCAAACACCAAGCTTGAAGGTAAAATTTTGATTTCTGAAACCATTACATGAAATTGTCCTACTTTATTAATAAAGTTAGGGTAATATTTGTATTTTTGTCACACAAGAAGCTGCTCAATCAATGGGTTTTATTTTTATAAACTTTCAGACAGTCAAGCCAGCACTCCGGGACCAGCTTCACTGTTTTTGGAGCTCAAAGGTTTTTCTTTTGTTTTTATTTTAGCCTGCATTATTTCTTTTCATAACCCTCTGCACCGTTTCAGATGATGTTTTATGCATCTGTATTTAACTACTCACCTTCCTAAGCTTTTTATGCATGCACATACTTGATTTCAAATGTTCTCCAGCAGCTTGACCTATCTTTGGAAAAGCTTTCTGTGTAAACACATTGTAAAAGTATCACAAAGTATGGCTGTCTAACCCTAAGCTGGTAATGCAGAGTTACTTTGTAAAATCTAATTTAATTTTATGTTTGTGATTTCTCAATACTTTTTTTCTTAGTTGTAGTCTTTGAGTCTTATAAGTATTTGGGATGAAAGCATAGCATTATCTAGCTGCTTATTTTAGTAAAGAAAGGATACTTCATCTCAGTTCATTCTCCCTATCTGAAATAACATTTTCTGCAATGTGAAATTTCTGAAACAAGCATAAAGTTTATATTAAGTCTAACTTTCTCAGTTTCCATCTGGACACATTTTCCAGTTGTGTGAAAAGTAGATAGATTCTAATTTGTGATTTAAAATTATTAAGTTTAACATAAGAAATAAAATGGTTTGTGACTGAGATATAGCTTGTTTTTCCTGAGCTGTAGCCATTGAGATTAAGGTAGAGGAAATAAGAAGCATACTGCTTATACAAGCCTTGTACTTTCTGCTCTGTTCTACACAAATGTATACCTTACTATCCAAGATGGATTTTCCCTTTACATCTTGGAATGCAGTTGTGCCTCAGAATCACACTTATGTTTCTAATAAGGTTGACTTACACTCACTGTAATGTCATTTTCTCAGAGCCACTAGGTAAAAAGGGCCTCTCTGTTTTTATTTTGAAAAGTTACCTGCAGAAGGATTTATTCTATGTTAATACCCATTGTAGCTAATACTATAGCCAAGACATTTCTGAGAATAGAAAACTTGGAATTTCTTAGCATTGTTACTTATAATACTTGATATATACTTGGTAAACTAAAGAATGATCAAGATGATATTATGTGGTAGATACTCAGTAGCTGTTGAAGCTATAAGTGAAGATACTTTGTGTGCCTATGCAAATGAAGCCTAAAGCCATCTCCAGAAACTTGAGTCACTGTAGTGGTACCGGCCTGTGATCCCACCACATGGGATGCTGAGGCAGGTAGATAACCAGTGAATTGTCAGTATGGGCTACAGAAGGCTCTAGGTTAGCATAAGCTATGAAGCCATGACTCACAAACCCCAAAAGAGACAGGTGATGTTAGGGAAGAATAAAGTTGCTGAAGACCTAAAATGAAAGACAAGTAAGGGAACAGGGTTGTGGCAAGCAGATGAAATAAAAACCAGCTTCCTGTGGGCATGCAATCAAAGTGGTTCTTCTGTGTTCTATGTAAGTATAAGTACAGTCAGTAGCAAAGCTAGAGTGAGACATTTTTGTTACAGTTTAGACAACAGGAATACATATATTGGTGTCATACGTCATGCCCAGTAAGAACAGCTTGTAGGTGGCTGACAGGATTAAATATAAAGAACTCAGTCAGGAGGGGATGCTGAAGAGATGGCTCAGCACCTACATTTATTCAAAAGACTGGCACTCGGCCCCCAGCATCCAAATGAGGCAGCTAACAAATGACTATAACCCCATTTTAGGGGGTTCACTGGCCTCTTCTGGCACCTGCTCATACTTGGCATACACATACACAGAGACCCACACACATACATGTAGATAAAACATTTTTTTTTAATCACTCAATTATATTTTCCACTTAGAAAGCTTCTTTTTTTTTTTTTTTTTTTTGTTTTTTCGAGACAGGGTTTCTCCATGTAGCTTTGCGCCTTTCCTGGAGCTCACTTGGTAGCCCAGGCTGGCCTCGAACTCACAAAGATCCGCCTGCCTCTGCCTCCCGAGTGCTGGGATTAAAGGCGTGCGCCACCACCGCCCGGCATCCACTTAGAAAGCTTCTTGAAACAGATCTTTTTTTTTTTTTTTTTAAGATTTATTTATTATGTATACAGTGAGTGTTTTGCCTGCAGGCCAGAAGAGGGCGCCAGATCTCATTGTAGATGGTTGTGAGCCACCATGTGGTTGCTGGGAATTGAACATTTTTTTAAATCATAAGAATTTAACAAGCTGGAAAGATGGCCCAGTGGTTCAGAATAATTGTCTTCAAACATGACAACCAGAACTTGGACCTCAGCACCCATTAACAAGCTGGTCATCCTGAAAAACACCTGTAATTTCAGCTCTAAGGGGAGGCAGCGGGAGGGGATCTCTATAAGCTGGAGATCAGCCTGGTATACATAGCAAGATCCAAAACAGCCAGGACTACATAGAGAGACTCTGTCTCCAAATAATAATAATTATTATTATTATAAAACTAAAATAAGTTAAACTAGTAAATAAATCTTTTTTAAAAGAAAGAAGGTAGTAGTGGACTAAATAACAATAGAAAGTGATTTTTATTGAATTACTGGCATTTGTTAAATACATGTGGGTTTTTTTTCCTGAATACTTTTTCCAGCTTGACACATACACTGAAGGATTACAAATACCTTTGCCAACTATATTGTTTTGTTCTTTGAAATAGAATGTATAGTTGCATCATTAGTTGTAGACTGCATGACTTTGTGAGATGTCCTACTAAAATGGGAGTGTTTCAATGATTATATGTTTCTGTGGTTACTTGCTTATTACAGTTAACACACCTATTTTGTGAAAACCTTTTAAAACTGCATTATTTGCATTGCATGGCTGTAAATGCCTTTAACCCCAGCATGTGGGAGGCAGAGGTAAATGGATCTCTATGAGTTCAAGGCCAGCCTGGTCTACAGAGTTCCAAGCCAACTAGGGGTCATACTAAGACTTTTGTCTCAAAAAAAGAAATAAATAAAAAAGCAAAACTATAGGTAGGCATGGTAGCACACCATGTTTCCCAGTAGTCAGTTGGTAGGCATAAAGGATCCCTAGGGCAGGCTAGCTAGCTGGACTACTCAAATCAGCAAAGAGATCCTACTTCAGTATGTCAGTGGAGAGTGAATGGGGCAGACATTCAGTGTCAACCTCTGACTTCTATATGCTCACACATAAACATACCCACAAATGTGAACACAAACACAACACACATAATGCAAAATAAAATTTTTTTTCAAAGATCATTTGGGGGCCTGTGGATGTAACTCTATGCCAGAGTGCTTACCTGATACCTACAAGGCTGTAGATTTGATCACCAGCAAGGCAAATAATAATAATAATAATTTTCAATTCAGCGGTGAAAATATACTTCATGCTCTTGGAAAGGACCAGGGCTCAGTTCCCAGCACCCACAAGTCAGCACACAACCTCTACAGTTACAATTCTGAGGGATCTGACAGTCTTCTGACCTCCATGGACACCAGCTGTGCATATGGCACACATACATGGAGGCAAATGCTCATACACATAAGAATAATCCATAAAGATAATCAAATAAAATAAGCAACCCCAGCCTGAAGGAACCATCGTTTAGAAAGTATAGAATGTTGGAATGTTGGACTATGTGGCCAGAAACAATTTTCAGCCTGTTTATTTCCACTAGCATACTGGATAGACGAGATATAATTTAATAATTGCTCATTAGAAAAATTTAAAATGGCTGAGTCTAGAAAGAAGCATGTGCACCTTAGAAGTAGCTCCATCTCCCACTCCAAAGCTGCCTTTCATGCACCTTACGTGAAAGAGTTAATTGGGAGAGCTGGGGATGTAGCTCAGCTGCAGAGTACTTGGCTAGCCTGCACCAGATCCTGGGTTCTATACCCAGCACCTTATAAACCATACTCAGGAGGTGGAGGCAGGAGAACCAGAGAACGTCAAGGCCATTCTCAGCTACACAATGCATTTGAGGCTACCCTGGGCGAGAGGCTCTGCCTTAAATATAAATAAATAGACAGTTGCATTACCCACTGTGATTACAGGCTTGTCTTGTAACACTTTGGCTGTATTCCCAAAAAGAAATGATTGTGTAAGACTAGCCACCTATACACTCTGAAAGCACATTCCTGGGGGTGGTTTACAGTTTATTTAAAAATCTTCAGCAGTTGTTTATGCTCTGGGAATGGAGTGCTCAAAGTTGTAATACATATGAAAACAGAAATCCTCACCTCACATCAGATGGGTAAGTAGCTGTTACTCATTTGAGGTTTGTTGAGGTTTCTGCTTCACTTGGCAGAAACTAATGATGATTATTTCTGATGCATTGCCCAGTGTCTCAGAGGGTCTGTCTCACTGACCTCTCCCATTGTGCTTTCCTCTGCAGGTGAAGGTTGCTATCCTTAAGTACATAGAAACTCTGGCCAAGCAGATGGACCCAGGAGATTTTATAAATTCCAGTGAGACTCGCCTGGCAGTGTCTCGGGTCATCACTTGGACGACAGAGCCCAAAAGTTCTGATGTTCGAAAGGTGTGTTTGAGTGGGATCAGGAGATAACTTTGGGTGTTTTTTAACTGATTTTTTCTTAGATACAGGCATTATATATATTTCATCATAAATGAAGAGTTGGCGTTTCCTGGGCTTTTTATTATACTGAAGAATCGGTTCTTGGTAATGTGGAGATTTACCGCTTGTTGTGTTTTGTTTTGCAGTTTCTCCTATACCAGTTGGTTTGCTCCTGCTTCCTTTCTTACAGAGGTTCTGTTCTTAGAGTTAATGTCTGCCTGGCTTGTCATGTCCTTGAGTTACGGATTTTTGAGACAGTCTTTGATCACCTGGGCTAACTAGAACTCACTCTGTAGTAGATGACCTTGAACTCCTAGTCCTCTTGCCTCCACCTGCCAAGGACCAAGAATGTTGGCATAGACCACCATGCCCAGCGTGACTGAGCTTTACATGCCCTTTAGTGTATGTTAATATTTTCATTGTTTCTGCCAAGGACTTATGGCTAGCATTTTCTATCTACTCAAAAATAAGTGTCGTTTGTGCTAGAGAAATGGCTCCATGGGTAAAGGGCTTGCCGTGCAAGCACCAGAATTTGAGTTTCTATTCCTAGCATCTACATTTTTAAAAACCCAGCACATCCCTGTAATCTCAAAGCTGGGAAGAAGCAGCTACAATCAACTTGCTAGGACTCACTGGCCAGCTGCTATTTCCCAGTTGTTGAGCTCCTAGTTCAGTGAGACCTGGTCTCAAAAACTAAAGGAGAATTGGAGGAGGGGGGTGCACACCTTTAATCCCAGCACTTGGGAGGCAGATCTCTGTGAGTTGAAGGCTAGCCTGACCTTTGGCCTCACATCTGAACACACGTTAGCACATGTACATGTCTATGCACAGCTGCACACACATGAACACAGACGCATGTATCAGGAAACAAAAACAAAAATACACTGAAGTGAAGGAAAGTGAAGACATGGCATGATAAAACTTAGAGATACAGCCGAAGCTGTATTTTGGATGAAACTCAACAGTACACAGACAGACAGACATGCAGACAAAACAGTCAAACACGATGATGGTGATGATGATGAAGAAGATAGAAAGCTAAGCTGGCACACACCTTTAATCCCAACAACTCAGAATGTAAAGGCAGGTCTTTGTGACCAGCTGCCGAATGTTCCCACTTACCAAGCCTTTTCCACATGAATGCACTGTGCCCTCAAGCTGTGAGCCAAAATAAATGTTTTGTCAGGTATTTTGTGAAACCTCTAATTCAGAGCTTATAAGAAGAAGAAACATTTTAAATCATTTATCCAATCAACCACCATAAGACAGTGAGTCAAAAAGAGCAAAGCAAACCTGAAGCAAATAGAAGTTCATAGTTGAGAGCCGGGCGGTGG